TAATGAAGTAACTCATTCTCTAATACTCTCCAAATCTTTGGGTCATGAAGAAAGAGCCAGCCAACTTCCTTCCCCCGCTCTGCTCCCCAGCTAAACTACTGCTTCTAGACCAGGCCACCATCATTTTTATCCTGGAGCGGTTTACAAACCTACACACCTTCTAATATTTTCTGCACTGAGCAGCCAGAGTATCCTTTTAGTAAATTGGATTATATAAGTTCTCTGTTTAAAATTCTCCAGTGGTTTCCCTTTGCAATAAAAATAAAATCCAAATTTCAAATTTTGGTCTTCAGATCTTTTATGATGAGATGCTTTTGCATCTGTCACTTCCCTTGTTGAAAGCTCTTTCTCCCTGCCCACTTTAGCTAAACTGTATATATATATACATTTCTATCTTTAAATACAAAGTCTGGCTTCCTACAGTTAGTGTACATCAGGAATAAGTGTTTTTATGATTAAAATGTATAGCTCTCCTTGATAAAAATAGAAAAATGGTATAGTTGTATATTAATAACCTTATTCATACTCTCTTCTACTTCTACATAGATTCTACTGAAAAATTCAAGCTTGAAAACCTTAGTGTATAATGCTAAAATTGTTGGAAGAGATGCTGCTGACTTCTCCCTCTCCCAAACAGGAAATGTTGTGACAATTTCTCCAAAGTAAGTATTTTTTAGAAATTTTACTTTATTGAACATATCAACCCTAAAGATTTAATAGGTATTGTAGTTATAAAGAATTGACTTGGATTTTTTAATTGATAGCTATATAATGAAAACATCATTATTCACTTAGACAAATATTCATATGTTTATGACATTCCTCACCAATTCTGTCAAAACAATTCTAATAACATAAAACAACTGTTTAACTGTTTTATGTATGCATTTAATTTTAATTTATTTTGTATTCGTATTGGCCATATAGATAAGATTATATGTTATTTTTTATGTACTAAGATTCTGTTTCTTGCAGGAAACTAAAACCAGTGAATGCTAAAGATATATATATATATATGTATAATTTTGTAATATATACACATACCATATTATTTATAGTTGTTTCTGATTATAAAAACACTATGTACCCATTGTGGAAAATTTAGAAACTATGAAAGTATGAAGAACAATAAAAGGAAAGATTTGTAATCCTACCTCAAAGAATTCCCAACTTGCCATTTTTCTGTACCCTCTCATAGTCATTGTGTATGTATGTGTAGATGATAGGTGTGTAGACGATAGGTAGGTGGATAGACATGTAACATATATGAATATATATATACTCCCAAATTGTGGTAATATTCTATAAATTCTTGTTTTTATCTAACTGTGTTCTCATGACACTTGGTAATGTGTCTACTACTAGCCCACTCTTAAAAATAAAGTATAAATAGTATTAAGAAATTAAATCCAGGCTGGGTGCGGTGGCTCATGCCTGTAATCCTAGCACTCTGGGAGGCTGAGGCGGGAGGATCACTGAAGGTCACTCAGCTCTGGGCAAGAGCGAGACCCCGTCTCTACTAAACATAGAAAGAAATTAATTGGCCAACTAAAAATATATAGAAAAAATTAGCCGGGCATGGTGGCGCATGCCTGTAGTCTAGTCCTTAGACTACTCGGGAGGGGCTGTGAGTCCAGGAAGATTGTTTGCAGCCCAGGAGTTTGAGGTTGGCCCTTGGAGTGATGCTGAAGTCATGGGCCACTGTTAGCCAGGCAACATTGTGAGTGAGATTCTGTCTCAGCACGAAAAAAGGAAAGAGTGAGAGAGAGAAGAGAGAGAGAGCAGAGAGGAGGAGAGAAATAAATCTGAAATTGCTGCGTAGGAGATGGCTACTGATGTATGCGCCTCCAAAGAATTATTACCTGTGTCCTCCAGAGGGGCAGCACCACATCCTGAGCCGCACTTGGGCCTCCTGGAGCTGCTCCTGGTTCAGCAGAGGAGTATTTACCGGAATGTGGAGAGCAGAGCCTTGAGGCAGTGCTGGGCAGCAAGCACCAAGGTTCAGAAGCACTTCTCATCAGCCACTCTTAAAATTGTTCTGCCCGCCAGGCCCTGGGAGGGGCAGCTCTGGTGAACTCTGAAATGTCTTTGCTGTCATTCTCCATTGTCTTATTGAATAGTAGCTGGCTTTCTAATAAAAGATTGGTTGATTCAATGCTAATCTTCTTATCAAACAGTTGCTGCCCACACCCTTTCCTTGTTCTCTGCCCAAAACATTTTCTCATTCCTTTTAATGTGAATAGGCTGAGAATTTTCCAAATATTTAAGTTCTGCTTCCCTTTGATAAAATTTTGTTTTTATTTTGATTTATTATATCATCGGCTCAGGCGGCGTGGATGTGTTCCTTGTTTCATAGCATTCTTTTTAAAATTTGTGTATATGCAATCGTGCGTGCCCTCCGCTCCCAAGTAGCTGGAGGACTACAGGATGCACCGCAGCCAATGCCCGCGGTAACTTTTTCCTATCATATATTAGTTGGCCAATAATTCTTTTCATTCTAATAGAGACGGGTGTCATCGCTCTGCTGTCAGGCTGGTTTCGAACTCGGAGACGGATCCTCCGCCCGCCTCGGCCTCCCGAGGAGGATTACAGACGTGAAGCCATCCGCCCAGGGCCTTTGAATTAAAATTGTGTCTTAAATCATTTCTTTCTTCTTGTATTTCACTACAAAGCATTCAAATGAGTAAGGCAATACTTTTTTTTTTTTTTATGGATTAATGGGGTACAGATTTTAAGTTTCAATAAATTGCCCATTTCCCCCCCCCCCAAAAAATGCTGAGTTCCAGCACATCCCCCAACGATGGTGCACATCTCACTCATTCGTATGGTATGTATATCCACCCCTCCCCCCTCCCACCTGCCCAATTACCAACTGAGTTACATGTGCACTAGGTGGCTACTCAGTTATATACCAGGATTTCTGGAGAATAGATCTGGTGCTTGTTTTTCAATTCTTGGGATACTCTCACCTTAGTAGTATGGGGTTCCAGCGCTCTAACGAGGAAAATATAAGATGTGCTATATCACCATTGTTTCTTAGAGCTAAATTAGTAACTCCGATGGTAGTACATATACCACATTTTATTAATCCATTCTTGGATTGATGGGCACTTGGGCTGTTTCACCAGGCTTGCATCTAATGATTGTGCTTGCTATAAACATTCGAGTGCGCAGTTGTCTTTTCTTCTGTAGAGTTGTCCACTGGCATCATGTTGGTTAGATGCCCATGCAAAGGGATTGCTGGATAAATGGGAGATTCAGCCTGCTGTATCGCTTTAGGTTATTCGTCCATACTGTTGCTTTCCACAGAGGTTGAACTAGTTTGCAGTCCCACAGCAGTGTAGGGAGTGTTCCTCTCTTCTCCGCAACCACGCCATGCATTTATTGTTTGGAGATTTTTGATAAAGCCATTCTCACTGGGGTTAAGTGATATCTCATTGTGGTTTTAGATTTGCATTTCCCCTGATGATTAGAGATGTTGAGCAATTTCTTCATATGTTGTTGGCCATTCTGTTATGTCTTCTTTAGAAAAATTCTGATTCAAGCCTTTTGCGCCACTTTTTAATGGGGTTATTTGTATTTTTCTTCTATTTTCGTGAGTTCTAAGTATATTCTGGATTATCACGCCAAATCCGGAAATCGGCATAAGAGATGCAACAAATATTCATCCCTAATATGCTCAGTTAGATATGTATTACTCTTCAATAAC